TGGTGCCAAGTATCTTTGGGCATTTTCCTTAAGGGACTTGATCATGTTTAGGCAACTTTCGAAAGCGTCATCGAGGGACTATGATCATTTGAATTGTGTTTATTTTGCCCAAAGAGACCTAACATGCAATATGGCCCAATTTTGAAAGGCAACAAGTGGATATAACCCTAGGGATGTTAGTGTGCAAGTGTTTTATTGCATACAAGAGTTTTTCTTTGAATTAGGTTTTTCTATTTCATTGATTTTATCTTGTCATACACGTCCTAATTACTAGCAATAAGAAGCGGAAATGTAAAATCCTACGCTATTACAATAGTTAGGGGAGGGGGATACATATTTGTACATGGGGGGTTCAACGAGAAAAATAGACAAAAAAGAAAATAGCGAAAAACAAGATATGTAGAGAGAGAGAGGGAGCCCGCGCGCTGTTGGGAGGCCATCAGAAGTTCTGACCCAGATCCGCTGTCAGATGATCAACCTGTTGGTGAAACTGGATGAGTCAGAACTTCTGACTCTAGAACCTGCAAAACAGAACCCTGTTAGTGGGGAAACCAGAAGTTCTGATTTCCCTGCGCTGCAAGGCAGAAGTTTGTTAGTGGAGAACCCAGAAGTTCAGATTCTGCTGAAAAGGCAATAACTCTCAGAGGTTCTGATGTCATTGACAGCAAAACAGGCTTCAGATGTGCTAACGTCAAAGTCAGCACTTGGCTTTTTCCTGCACTAATCAGAACATCTGCAATCCTGTTGTTACTCCACAAAACAGAAAACATATTTGGAACAGATCCAGTAAAATAGCAAAATGTCTCAGAGGTCAGAATCACCAAGGTCACAGGCAAGTCCTAAACTGGCTCAGAACGTTCTGAGGTATGAGAGTCCTCAGAACATAAACAGCAATAACATGAATATTTACATTATGTCACTTGAATATGTACAGCTGATGATGCTTAACAGTGTGGTGAGGGTCAGCAGGTGCTTACCTGACTGTCTGGAAGGTGGTGGGTGAAAGTTAGCTTTTGGTTCTGGTAGTGTTCTGGATAGATTTGGAAAAGGGGAAGTGAAGGTGTATACGTGTATAGGGTCAGAAGTTTGGAAAGAACGTTTTTGGTTTACAGAAAAGAGCTGGATGTTTGATGAAGTTGTAGGTAAGAAACTTAAAGTTATGAAACAAAGCTGGAAATTTTGACAGAGTTTCAGGATGTTATGTTGCTAGGAGTTTCGTTTCTCTCTTAGCAATTTTTCTGTTTCTTTTTTTGAACCCCTTTTGCAGTGGTGAAAGCTCTCTATTTATAGGCAAAGTTCTTGTGGATGCCTTGAACATTTAAGGCGCCAACAGAGTTTGAATTTGTTCTTTGACAGAAATTCCTGAGAAGTTGTGATAACAGCTATTTTTCAGCCTAGGTAGCAGCAGCAGGCGTAGATTGGGGGAAGTGACCTCTGAAATGGGCGGTGGCGTGAAGACCCATGCCAGAATCTGTGCAAAAGCATTTTCCAAGCCACACGTGAATGCTCAGGAGTGGTTGGAAGCATTAATGGGCATTAAATGGTGACAAGACCTGTCAATACCAATATTCTGGTTGTTGAATCAGCAGCGTAAACCATGCTCTGGCCTTGGCTACCTGTTGTCTTAGCAAGCTCTGGAGATTCTCCTGGTTTTCTGGTACGTTCCTTGGGTCTACTTCTGGACGATCTGGACTTAGAGATTCTGTATCAATGTGACACCTATCCCTCTGACCTTTTATCTTCTGACTTCAACCTGTTCTGAAGGAGCCTTTATACTTTCATGTTTCTCTTGCATTCCTTTAGCAAGTTCTGACTGAGCTTGTGTAATTGCTGAAGGGGCATGTTCTGTTTGAGGCTTACACTCTGAACCGCGTTTTCAACTTCTGATTGAACTGATGTAGCTGCTGAAGAGCCAACTTCTGACCATGCTGAGCCAAGTTTGCAACTTCTGACCGTCTTCATCTGGAATGGGTCCAGAAGTTCTGAAGCGCTGATTTTTCTAAAAACATTTATTTTATAGAAACATTTTAAGCACTTTAGAATTTGATTTTCCTCAAGATGAAAGCGTTGTTTCTGGAGTTTGTGAGATCATCTTGCTCTTGTAAGTGACTTGCTTTGGCAAAAGGATAACTCAGGACTTGGATTTGTTTCAGGGGATTTTGAAAAATCTAAGATGGTTTCCTGAAGAAAGGGAGGGCGAATTTTGGGGTACAACACTTACGAACGAGAATCATTACAAAGATTTCCTAAACAAAGGCCTCTTTACAAAATACTTTTAAAAAACCACACAAAGCACAATTTCAAACAAAAGCAAGTGATCTACCAAAGTAACTAAGAGCCCATGGAAAACCATGGATGAAGAGGGTGCTAATACCTTCCCTTTTCATAATCTACCCCCCAAACTCAAGAAACAATCTCAAAGGTCTTTCTTGTGCTTTTTCACCTTTCCTTTTGGATAAAAGAAAAGTCGGTGGCGACTCTTGCTAACCGCAAAATTTGCGATCAAACGCAAAACCTTCAAGTCAGTTCTTCCACCGCATCACACACACCATTGAGGTATGTTTCAAGAAACACAAGCTTACCATTAGCTAAAAAATCCCATCATTACTCAAGTTTCAAAAGACGACAGTGTTCAAGATGAATTCCAACACATTCCTTCAAAAGCTGTTTTTTAACATACTGGTCCAATAAGCTTCACTCCAGACCAGTAAAAATCTATTTTTTTCACTTTTTCAACAAACTTCACCTCTCACACTTGAAGGTGCAAGAAAGACAAGAAATAGAGGGTTTGAATTCGGTTTCTCCAAATAAAAATTCTCCAAACTCAAACACAAACTCTTAACAGAAGAATAAAAATAAATGAACACGATTATTTTTATCCTGATTATTATTAACGAAGTTAATCCAGTCCATCCTCCAAGGTGATTTTGCCTTCTCAATAAGGACTTAATTCATTATAACCAAACATATTACAGAACCGCAACAAGACTAACTGTCATTGTTGTAAACCATAAAGACCAACTGTCCTTGTCTTCTTGAGTATATAGACTAATACTTAGTCACTCAAAGAACCAACCACAAACACCAACTGTCTTTGTCTTCTTGAGTCTACAGACCTTAACTCAGTCACTCAAGGAACAATCAACTTATAGTTGAATACAAATTTTGTATTTACAAGATTTCTTCTTACAAGAGGATTACACAATATTGAAGTATAGATAATAACACAACAGTGTTAAGCAAGTTAACAAACAAAATTTCCTTGCTAGCAAGTTAATGAGCAACAACTCATTGCTTTACAAAAATTACAGAGTTATTTTGGCAGAGTTTTAGCAACTTGAATAACCGTGAGTTTCTTCAAAGTTATTCAACGTTTCCAATTATTCCAAGTCTTCCTTTTATATCTAAAAATAAATTCATTGGAGGGTAGAATAGGAATACCAAAATTTCAGTTGTTTTATTGCAACGGTCAATGAGAGAGTGGTAGACAACCTAGTACAAAAGTATTGTCCTTGTACCACAAAACCAGCGTAATGGAGATGAGGTGATGTTGTCCCTTGTACTGCAACTCATGTGAAACCTTTTGATCTTCTCTTTTAATCTTCATATGCTTCTAGATGTATAATGGTTTAAGCATGTGTAGAAGGATCAAAAACTAAGTCTTTAGAATCATGTCATCAGAGTCTTCAGAACTTGTTCATCTCGAACCTTGTCTTCAGAGTCTTCAGCACTTAGTCTTCTGAGTCTTCATAACCTTTTCTTCAGAGTCTACAGAACTTCGTTCAACAGAATCTTGTCTTCGGATTCTTCAGAAGTTGGTTTAGAGAACCGTTGGTCTTTAGAGCTTTAGAACTTGTTCAACAGAACATTTTCTTTAGAATCTTCAGAACTTGGGCAAGATTACTTGAAATCCTCAGAGCTTTAGAACGTACCAGAAGCTCTTCAACAAAATCACAGTTAAAATCAATAAAACTAACGTTCTTTCAGAACCATTGCTTTAACACGCATTCGAATCCATGAAACATAAACTTGTATTATTCAGTGTGTTGAGTCTCTAATCTGATGACGCCGCACGTCACTTCTTCAGAGTTAGAACCTGTTAGTAAAATCTACACACTAAATAAAGGGTACTAAATTGTTATCTAATCACCTATGTAATGTTATCATCAAAACTCAAGGCGAAATGCATAATCAAATCTTATTCTTACAACACCTACCCCAACCATAATACCCCTACTCCCACCGTCACACAACCCACTTCCCAACAAACTAATCTCATACATTCTTCTCTTATTCCCACCAACATCACTGTTCTCTCTCAACCAACTCATCACCCACCAACCTCCCAACCTTAGAAAATCAGGAAGGATCTCTAAACCTCCCATTTATCTTCGAGACTACCGTTGTGTCTTTACTCAAGGTACTTATATCCCTTAACCTTATAATTCAGGTAACAGTATATATCATTTATCTCATTTCCAGTTTTACAATTTATCTCAAACGCATAAATTTTTTAACTTCAAAATATCCACTATCCTCTACATCTTGGCACATTCTCTTCTTTGGTTTTTAAACTCAAAATGCTCGACTTTCATTATAATTTGCGGGGGACTGTTACAATATAACTACTTAAATTTATTTTCCATTCAACTGTCAAGTTAAGAATAATTTTATCTAAAATCTCATTAACCACTATCCTATTCCTAACCTTATTTCATATCATGTTTTTTTCTTTGACATATTTAAGATTTTTGTTGAGGTATTAGTATAAATTAAATGGTGATCAAGCAATATACTAATAGTTGTACTGCTAATCAGTACAAATAATTTGCTTAACCAAAAGTATCTGTCATAGTCACATCACACTCATAATAAAGTCTTATAATAAAACCCAAAATCAAAAGTTGTGATTACTTTTACTATAAATAGGCCACATTCATGGGTATATGCAATTATTCTCACTGCCTAATCAAGACACAAGTTCCATGTATAGTTTAAAGATGCTAATTATCCTTCTACTCTTTCTACTAATCACTTCTTTTGGTCAAGTAATCAATGCATTTCCCTTAAGTGCTTGTCCAAATTGTGGTGACTTTGAAGTTCCATATCCACTCAGCACAAATGATAACTGTGGTGACAAAAGGTACAAAATTTACTGCAACAACCATACCTTAAAATTCTTGTCACCAACAGGAACATACTATAACATCCTTAAAATTGACCCAAATGGTAACAAGCTTATAATCAAACCACCTATCATACATAAACACACTTGTTACTCTTCTGATCTCTTTGGGGGAGGCTTAGTTCTTGATGAAAACTTACCCTTCAATATTTCTACACTCAACACTGTCATGCTCCTAAACTGCTCTAGTAATATCCTTCAATCTCCTCTTAACTGTTCATCAAACAGCATCTGTAGAGAGTTTGAGGAAAAAGTAGAGGAGGGGAAAGGGTGTATGAACACCCTTTGTTGTCATTACTTGAAAGATTCAGCTATGAATTCTCATAAGATCAGACTCCGACTTGGAAGCTGTACTGCTTATAGTTGTTTGGTGAATTTCAAACCTGGTGACCCTTTTGAAACTTGGAGTTATGGGATTGAGTTGCAATGGGTGTCTCCTTATTAACCAAGTTGCATGCATGTTCATGGTTTCAATGTTGTATTTTGAAACCGAACAACTATGTTATGTCATCATGTCTTAGTATACTATGTTTTTTAGTTTGGTTATTTGAATAAAATGTGTACTACTTTTGCTATGTATAACATAAACTCATGATAAGAACATGTTTCTTGTTATTGTTATTCTTCATAAATCATCATTTGTAGGTTGAATAAAGAGAACATTGAATTCAACAACTTGAAAATACAGAGATGGGTGACATGTAAAATACTATATTATGCATGGAGAAAAGACAAGAAAATGATAATATTCTAATATTTGTCTAATCAAAGAAAATGCTATATAGGATGTACCTTTTAAAAATAAACAATAGGAAACATGACGTCTTGCATGACCTCTACAATTCTACATATTTCAAATTTTCTATAATTCTACATTCATGTTTATTTTATTTTTTTTAAATTGTTGAAACTATTAGTGAATTTTTTTTAGCAATAATTAAGTATTGAAAAAAATACATAAATAATCATATTTCGGAGAAAATTACGTAAATAATTATGTTTCAGAAAACTTCACAATAGAAGAGTCAAGTGAGATGGTGCATGCACTCACCTTTTTTCTCTAGGCACCATCTCACTTAGCGCATGCACTTTGTTTTAGTCAAATGAGATAGCGCATGCACTATAACTCTGCCAAAATAAATCACTCATTTCTCCATCATTATTCACACTTTCTCGCACTGATTTCTTTTTTTTTTCTCTGTTATTTGCGTCATGACATCTCCCATGATTTTCACCAGAGATGGATACGTTATTTTCTCGACCATCAAACCTTTGATGAAAATAAAATTTTGGCACATTCACTCCATGGAGCGTCTGAAGAGATTGTTGATGTGATGGCTAGAGGGAGACGTCAAGGCTGGAGAACAAATTAGAAAGATCCAGAGAAGAAGAACAACCACCTCACTTGCAACTGGAAGACTTATTTTTTGGTTGGAGGAAGTCAAAACAGACAGAGACGTAATGGTGATGATGCATGGCTCAGATGAAATTGTTTTGACGGTTGCAATTTCTTAGACGTTTTATCATGTTTTTATTTGTTGTCTGCGTATGGTTTGTTGTAACAAATGCTCTTAATGAAAAACAATAATGTTTAGAACTTAAAAAAGTGCAGATGGTTTGCATATAATTTTTATGTTGTTGAGCTTGTAGTCCGAGTGGGACAATTTTTTCGATTGTGTCCGACCTGATGACATAAACCACACTTTCTTTCTAGCTTGTCAAGAGAGTCCATTATGTTTGTGATACGCTTGCTTTTGAGACGACCCTTTTTATTATTTCCCATTTGACTGTTGTGCTATAATATTTCCCCGTCGTATGCAGGCCAATAATCAGGTTTCGCTACCATTGGGAAGTCATTGTTGTATACGTCGAGCAAGGTTTTGGACTTGTAAATGGGAGATAGAAGTTGTAATGTGTCTTGATGAGTATATGCACATGTCGCAATGACATTAGAGCAAGGCATACGAAAGACTTGAAACTTACCACAATCCCACCAACGAGATGGTAGTATAACCTTATACTCTTGTCTTGGCAGCCCCTCGTTGTGGTCGATTGTCTCTTTGACAATGAAGTTGTGGCTATGTTGGTCGAACCTTATAACAAGATGGGTGTTGGCTTTGGCACTTTCTGTCTTAATATACTTCATGCAGATTTCACTTCATAGTTTTCCCGATTATAAGACTGCATTCCATATTTCACCTCTTTTGGAAAACAACGAAGCCATCCTAAAATATGTTGATTTCACCAAAGCGGTTACTGGGAGGTTTCATATGCCTTTGAATACACCGTTCATAGATTCGATAAGATTTTTTATCATGTGGCCCCATCTTTGTCCATTTTCGTATGACCTTGTCCATTTCTCCATCGGAATATTATCAATCCACCTACCTGCATTCGGATTTGACAATTTGATCTCGTTGCGATAGTGTTTGAACAAAGGTTGTGTTAATGCATACCCCGCGTTCATAACTGTTTTCCTAAGAGCCTTGTCTTTGATCTCCCTCGTGAAATTTTGTATGATATGTCTAATGCAGTAGACATGTGTATAAGGAGGGTCATGTCAACCGTTTGCAGGATTATTGTATGCACTCTCAATAGATACATGTCTGTCGGAGATCAAACAAAGATCAGGTTGAGGAGCCACGTGTGTTCAGAGATTCCTGAGAAAGAAACTCCAAGCACCACCAGTCTCTCCCTCGACTAGAGCAAAGGCAATTGGGAAAATGTTGTTGTTGCCATCTTGTGCAACTGCCATCAGTAGAGTGCCTTTGTATTTCCCGTACAATCATGTTCTGTCAATTTGAATAATACATTTGTATGATGCAAACCCTGTGATGCAAGGTTGAAAAGCCCAGGACAGTCGATTGAATATTCCATTTCTGATGACATGAGTAGCATCTGGGGCATACACCGTCAATGTTTCCATAATATAAACAGTTTCTGGAGAATACGTCTGAAGTGCATGCAGGTAGCGTGGAAGTTCTTTGTGTGACTCCTCCCAGTTTCCTTATATATTTTCAATCGCCTTGGTCTTGGCTAACCACGCCTTTCGATATGACGGAGTATAGTTGTATACCATAGTGATGTGAGAGATTATGGTTTTCACCTTCAATGACGGGTCATTGCTGACGAGAGGTAGGATTTTTTGACATATGAGATCATAATTTAGTTTATGATGATCCTGTGATTGAGTAGAATTGACGCATGTGTGGGTGGACATAGAACCTATCACCCAATAATCACTTCTTAACTTGTATGATGCAGTGGGCCTGAACATACAATTTGGGTGAACACACCTGAGCTTGTACCTTTCTGGATTTACCCGATCTACCTTAAAATCGACATAGTTTATCATGTAAAACTTTTTTATGGCTCAGATACAATCTTCTCTATTACGAAATTTGTCTTTCTCTTTTAAATTTTCATCCGACAGTGGGCCTGAACATACAATTTGGATGAACACACCTGAGCTTGTACCTTTCTGGATTTACCCGATCTACCTTAAAATCGACATAGTTTAGCATGTAAAACTTTTTTATGGCTCAGATACAATCTTCTCTATTACAAAATTTGTCTTTCTCTTTTAAATTTTCATCCGACTGCATATACAGGTTGAAAAAAACATCAGATGACGGTTCATCTCCGTCCATGTTGAAGTTTGTCATGTATGGAGGTGGTGTTTAGATCTCATTCGGAGGTATTCCAGGTATCCCATTGTCTTCAGAATCATCGTTGACCACGTCGTCAAACTCTAACTCGTCATCTTCCTCTTCTTCGTCAAAAATATCTACTTTTTTTGTTCGTCTTCAAGAGGATCAATCACTTGTGATTGAGGAGGTCGTTACAGCTGAGGCTCCCGCAGCACAATGTACAACTCAATCGAGTTGTACCCAGAATATTCATGACTGGAAAACATATTTTGAAGGTCCTCGTCATCTTGAACCTCTACCTTATAATATATTATTTGGTTCTCACCAAAAAAACATATTTTGATAGAAGATTTGTGTCACAGGACCTCGTCCAAGTTTGACCTCCAATCGTTTTTTAAAATACAAGAAATTGGCTTTCCTGTTTAAACAAAATCAGATGTTCTCAGTGTCTCTAAACAAAAACCCAAAGGTGAGACAAATGTACGTATCACCGTTGAAATGTGCACTGATAATGTATTGCGGTATAGAGGACATTGTGTTTGAATGTTTGAATGTTTGAAGGTTTGAGTGTTTGAGTGCTTGAGTGTGTGATTGTTTGAATATTTGAATGTTTGAGTGTTTGAGTGGTTGAATGTAGAGGCTTTTAGATACATGTAGGATTAAATAAGTTTCATTGAATTTGAACAATACAAAAGTAAGCCACCACTAATTCTCCAATTGAGATAGCGACACCTTTCAATTTTGCACTCATGCGCCAAGTCAAATGGCACATCCCTACATGTCCAATCATCTTACTTGCACACGCAAAAGCCTGCCCCTATGCTGCCACCTATGCTACAATTAGGCCTGTCCCACACCAAGTTGAATGGCGCATGCTCTCTAAATTGCATGTAGGCTCCATTTGACTTGGCGCATGAGTGGCATGTATCATGCATGCATGTAACCACCAACCACCTCATTTATTGGGTCTCTGATACAATTTTGCCTATAAATACGGCGCCTGAGATACTTGTTTTGCATCACCAATCATCTCACTCTCTAATACAAACTCTTTCATTATCTTATACAATTTCAACTATGCCTCTTCTCACAATGAGCGATTCTCATAGTCACAAGACACAATATTGCAGCGTTTGTAAGTTTTTATAAATTCTCAAATATTCTTGTATATTAATATATTTTTTATAAAATTATTATTGATTTAGTCATGTTATGGACTCTTACACTTTTTACATTTTGGATTTAAGATACTAAAAGATTTAGAATTCTCTCACACAACTACATTACTCCCGACCCGTTGATCGTGTCCTATCTCAAATATGCGGGTTTTGGAAATTTTATAAAAATCTCAAACTGCACGATTGATTCCAAGTTTATACTTGCAATGTTGGAAAGGTGGAGACCCGACACATACACATTTCATCTACCAATAGGTGAATGTACCGTCACACTAGAGGATGTGTACATGTTATTGAGTCTCCCTATTGATGGTAAGGCGGTTAATGGGTCGGTTCAACAACCCAATTCTTTATGCAAGGAATTGTTTGGGCAAAGATATGGTAGAAGGTAGTGGTGCTAGAGGTCAAGGTATATTAATAACTGAACTCAAAAAACATTATGCGACTCTTGAGTTGAATGAAAATTCTTCCAAACTAGAAAGAGTAATAAAAGCTAGAAATTATATGATGATACTATTTGGAAGCTTGTCATTTCCCGAATGTACAGGGAATAATGTAAATTTTATGTATTTAAGTTTGCTTAGGAACTTTGAAAAAACAAGAAAGTATAGTTGGGG